TACTTTTTCCTGTACCAAAATAATGTAACACATATGGAGGTAATTATGTTGCAAAATTTGAGAATTTATAGAATCTGATCTTAGAATTTGTAGAATGAAATCAGTACTTGTATTTTCAATGTGAGGACTTGTAGGATAAAAATCTGAATTTGCATGTTGAACTTTTCATGGACAAAAAGCATTCTCATAACTGTATTTTATATTTTAAGTCACAGATGTCACAGCAGGGGCGATCTAATGCACAGACTTAGTTTGGCAGAAGCCCAGGGGGGCAGAGTAATTCAGGGCCTCTGACTGACTGTTTTTTATGAGATTTCTTTATTTCCCCTCGACTCATCTACGCACATACACCACTGATTATCTTTAGACTCATGTCATTCATATCTGTGCCTGCTAATTGGGAGGATTTATTCAAAATATCCACTCAGGTGCAGACTGACAGGTGTATCAGATGCATACTTATAGCAAAACATATTAGAGTAGAGCTTAAAAAGAAAAGGACAAAGAAGTACCTTACATCTTTTTTAACATCAACATCAGCTAGCTCACAGGTTGGCTCCCAAAGCCAGTTAACATAACATGTTATGATTAGGCTGACTGCTGTCCACATCAGCAGTGATGTGGACTGAGAGGGACATTTTAAGAAATGGAATATTATTAAAGACGTTTCAAACAAGAAAAAGAGACAAAAGATAGAACAATAAGCTATGTTTATTTATTGCTCCATTGGAACAGTTCTGCAGTGTTTTAATAGGATTATATTCCCATTATAGCTTGTTATAGACCTCGTTGTTTTTATGGTGATGCTGAAGGTTTTACTGAGTAAACTCTACTGCACACAGGTGGAAAACCGCCGCAGCATCTTAAGGTGTGGTGAAATGTGACTAGGCTGGTAACAATATCTAAGGCAAAAAAGACAATTAAACTGACTGCCTTCTTAGTGAAACCTTGACTGGCTATTGCTTTTATCTGTCTGGTTCTGTGTGTAAGGTAATGTAGTAAGGAAGAAAAGATGAATGGCTGTGCTTTACGTTGGTGTGAGTGCCTTCATCAAAAACAATTTGTCCACATCACTCAGTTGTGCCATGTTGAGTTATACTGATTTTATTTACTTTAACTACAGCCATAAGGCCCATGACCACCTCACGACCAGGGCCCACGAGCAGTTCTAAGCCTCCCGGCTTCACTGCCACAAATGTATGATCTAAATACAAATATATTTATTCAAACAATTAATTTTTGGTGCTACAGCCACAAACCTAAGCTTGCAACCTTTTAAACATGACATAACAGTTAGCCTAAGCAAAACTGATTTGTGCGCTTGTAACCACTCCACGGAGGGATCAGAACTGGGGCAGGAGGCCGTGGGCATGAGATGTAATTCTTGATTAGATATAAAGTCTAAATTTTTGTAATTACGTGAGAGCTGCTGACTTACATTACTTGCTTTAATCATCTGTTTCCAAGAGAACAATATTAATTGTGTTTCCTCTGTATAGATTATGTGGACGCTACCTGCGTCAGCTGACTGTGCAGCTTGGACTGTGAATATGAACAGTGCAAGAAGTGCTGTAGACTCATCAAGCAACCTCTCAAAGTGTCTTTTCACGCCATGATCAGCTCTGTAAGCTTTACATTTTGTCCTTAAAGACTTTATTTTGAGGCAGTATAACCGGCTGTGTCTTGTTTAAATGCAGGGACAGTAACACGCCTTTTCAGTAATCTTTACCATGACAGGCTATTTGTTTTTAAATAATTAAAAAAAATAAATTGAATTTCTCTTATACTTTTCAGCTGTTCAGCAGTTGTGTTAGGGTTTTAAAGAGTAACATAGTGGTACGTTAATGAGTAGTGAGATAATAAGTAACCATGTTACTGTGTAAGAGAAATAATTAGTCATCAGTAATGTATAATATTTTTTGAGTAACTACTCCAACACTGCTCCACACACATTACTCTGTGAGAGGCCTTCTCTGTGGACCACTGTCAAATAAAATGGTTTAAAAAAGATAACTTGACTAATATTCTAGTTTACAGTCAAATGTTTGGGCATCCTGTTTTATTGTTTGTTTTTCCCTTCACAATTAATGTTTATTTGCTGAATTTATCATATTGTGGAAAACAATTAAACATAAAATGAGGCCTGTGCAAAAGTTATAGCACATATATATATATAATTGTTTTTTTATACATTTAACTCAGCAAAAAACTAAAATGATACACTAAAATGTGCAATTTTTTAATATTAGACATCAACATAAATTTAGGTTTGTTCCCTGTTGAGGATATTTGTTATTGTTCATTTGCACATAGAAAACAAATAATTTGACCAGGGGACTTCAAACATTTGCATACAGCTGTATTTGAAAATTCCATGTGTTCTATTATGTTTGGAAAAAAAATGACATGTTCTAATCAATGCTAGTCATTTTCTTCTTTTCTTAGAATGAAAAGTATTTAAATTAAGTATTGGAATGGAAGGAAGCAGAATGTTTTTTTTTTTTTTTCCAGCCAAGGAATTTTTATCCCATAAATATTCCACCAGGTCTATTTCAATCTGAATAGTCTGAAAAATGACAATAATCATTGTGATGAAAAGCATGGCTACTGACTCTGTGCTTCATGACCTGACAATGCCATTCTCTGAGGCTGCACCGGTGTGTTTAATGAGGGGCTTCTACAGACAAGACAAGCTTAATTAGATGAGAATTCACTCTCACTAAAGAACTCCTGGAACATCTGTCTCTTACTAAAGCCATCTTGTCAAGTGAGCATGTGTGTATGTGTGTTCTTTTTGAGACTTTGAGCATGGACGTGTGTGATCTCCCCTGATTACAAATGTCCAGTCCAACTCATATGGCCGTTTGTCAAAGCTTTCCTTTCATTAATTTATCACAGAGCTTCAGAGGCAGTGGCTGAGAGGCAGGAGCGCTCCTGTGGTGTGCCGAGGTGTCCCGGCCAGCAATCACACAGAGAAGCGCTGTCTCTGTATTAAGCCTTTAATTAATTATGTGCTTGTGCTGAACAACCCCGAGTCACTCCACATCTTTAATATCTTTCCAGTGTGTATTAGAGAAAGACCCTCCTAGCACTGCTCCCAATAAATCAAGGTCCTAGACAAAATAAAAGGGCCAACAGATGTGATGAGCAGAACTTCAGGAGGTAGATCATATCACAATTGACAGTCCACTGGGTTTCGCTTTATTCAGAAACAGCAATACCACAATCAGTAGGCCTCCTCTTCTAATCGAGCTCTCTTGTTTTGGGGTATTTGTTTACTGTTTAATTGTATGACCTGTATATGTCAGAATCATAGCACGAAAAAAGAAATTTCAAGTGGCTCACTCTCTAACAAGCCCTAGCTCTGATAACAGATGCACATACTGTTGGGGAAAAATAGGAAATTTATAACGACAGGTCAGATTCCCAGCGTGAAACATCTGGTTCAAGGCAAATTATGCAGAAGGCTGCTGTATCTTTGTCCCAGGTTTGTGTGCATGTATGAGGAACAGAAAGGGAGAGCAGAAGAAAGATGTACAGTACACTCTTAAAAAGAGAGGTTCCTAGACAGTTCTTGGCTTGAGTGTGCCAGTCTAAGGAAAAGATCGAACTAGTACAGAACTTTTCCATTATGTGGAGGATCTCTGTACATGAAAAAGGTTATTCAGACATGCACATCTCATTTACAAAAATGCTTCTTCAAAGGACCAGCCATAAAAAAGTTCAAATAAGGGGATCAAATACAGCATAAAATAGTCCTGGGCACAAGCATCTTCAGAGAGCCCACAAATAACAATAACACATAAGAAAAAAGAGAGATTAAATAGAAGCTCATATTTGTGCTCATGTGCTAATGTGTTTCTTTTTTGCGTTAATTGTTTTTGTGTAAGATTTTCATGTCTAAAGACAAACATGATTTGTAAACACAAATCGAGTCGTAATGCATTGAGTGCTAAATGATAGCATTTATAACATCCTGTTTGAGATGCAACAATAATATCCTACAAGCCAATAATAATATACAGTCATATGCCCCTGGTCAAATGACATGCTCTGTTGATTTTCTAAGCGAAAATAAGTGAACTCATCCTCTACAGAGAACACACTTCTGCACATTATAATACACAATACTGTTTATTTGCTCAGTTTAACATATTGAAAAAAAAACAAAACTTTGGCCTATGCAAAAGTTATGGCACATTTTATATTAGATTTTATATTTTATTTCTTTTCCATAATGTTAAACTTAGAAAACAAATAGAAATATGCAGAAATATATAGAAACAAATATAAATTAAAAAAATGCCATATTTACGTCTGTTCCCTATAAAGAATGTGTACTTATTTTCAAAAAGAAAATCAGCAAAACATCTAATTTGACCTGCCTTTTACATACGACTGTAAAACCTGAGTAGAGAACAGAGGTCATTTCTTCATTTATTTAGTCATTTGTGTGATGCAATGTCTTCTAATGTTTTTATCTAGTGGATTGTCCCAAGTATGTGAGCACCCAAGCCCCCTTGCAATTCGAAGCGTCTTGGCAATGACCCCACTGGCTTGGTCATTACTCCATCCCTGCTGATATTGATATCGAAACTGTGATAATGGGTCAATATCGATACCCATTTGATATTTTGCTTTAAAAGCTACTACGCTTTAAAATTAGCTGTTTTTCATTGGAACACTTCACTTAAGATGAGCATCTAAAAGTAGATTATCATACTCAAACTACTCAGACACTCTGCTACCCCACAGGAAGAAATACACAGCTAACAATTACATCACACAGAGTGAGTGAGTGGATTTATTCTTTTTTCTCCCTCTGATATCCAGTCCAGCATTTTCTGCTGAACTTGGCACCTTTTTGGCCCCTTTATTTTTAAGAGTGTAAGCAAAAGAAGGAAAGAGCAACAAAACATGAGAAAGATTCAGATTCAGCAACAGATGTGAAGAAGCCCTGAACTATAGTGTTGAGTAAAGTCGTGTGTGGTTGAACTCACCAGGCAATTGATGTGCTGTGTGCAGTCTGTGTTGGGCTGTGGGCCTCTGTCTTCAGGCTGTGTCTGGGCTGGTTGTGACAGTGCTGCTGTTGGTAGTGTGAGAGTGCTGCTGGAGCTCCAGGCTGAGATGGCTGCTGCGTCTGGCTCTCCTCCTGCTCGGCTCGTTGCCACTGACTGCGGGCTTGTTTGAGCCAGCGGCCCCCAAGCCCCCACTTTTCCAGGTACACCCGGCATACCTCGTAGTTCATGGCTGAGTAGTAGAGGAAGTCCAGCGCCAGCAGCACCATGACAAAAAAGCCATAGATCCACACGCCCACCAGCGCCGTGTAGTTACTGAAACAAAACACACACACTTTAATCTTTCTGTTTTCCAGCAGCACTGTTTATTGGTTTATTCGGATCTCCATGAGCTGTGTCACAATTACAATATATTAATAGAGCTGTTTAAACTATGTTCAATATAATATATGAATGATCACAATAAAAAATGCTACCCAATTACTTTGATCAATTTGATCAAATTCGTCATAGATATTGTGTTTTTAGTACATTTATTTGTTAGTTAATTGTATAGTGCATCAAGGCCTTGACCAACAATAAAACTGGTTTGAGTTGGCAGGTTGCCTTTGGGGGAGGAAGATTTGGTGGGGTTTACTTTTCTCATTTCAGCTGCCCACAAGGAACGTCTATTTTTGGATTTGTCAAATAATGTTTTTGTCCTACCACAGCCAGGCAGTAGTGCAGCATTTCTTACCCTGTAAAATACTGCTGAGGTACTTTTGAAGTGTTTGACATTTGGACTGACGAAGAACATTGCTTTTGTTTATCTGGACTGTTGCTTTGTTTCATTTTAATGAAAGCGTTTATTTCACTTGAATAAAAGCAGTTTAAACTGCATTAAAACGGTCACAAAATTGGTAACACTTCTTATGCTATCTACTTTAATGCATTTTGTGTTAGGCCACAAGAGCACAGCAAATCTCTTACACACATTATGTAATTAGTAGTACATCTCATCTGAACAAATGGAATTGAATTTCAGCAACAGAGCACTGGAGGTCCTTTGTTATTGTAAATAACAGTACAGCTGTGATTCATCTGCAGGAAGGAAAAAAATCAAACAAAGAAGCTCTGAGCATTGATTCAAATATACAATTTCAATGTTGGAAATTTGTTTCGCTCAAAAAGTCGTTCCATCAGTTGAGTAAAGTGGTGGTTGTTGTGAGTGGAATGATACCGTTATGGTCAGACATAACAGGACAGGTACAACACTTTTCAACTGATCATATGTATATATAGTTTTACTCATTTAGGAAGTCTACTAATTTATCTTCCCACAACACAGTGCATCCATAAAATGCACCCAATATAAAAGTGATCCATGCAAACTGTCCTACTGTTGGTAGCACGTTGACTAACATAGGAGTGTAGCCTTTTATATTGGATGCACGTGGCAAGCAGTAGCAGCACATAAAAAGTTTAGTTTGTTTTTTGACAAAGAAGCATGTATAAAAAGTATTGGGTTTAGTGGGGCATGATGATTGGTTGGTGGGGCAGTGCCCCACTAAATGACCCCATGAAGCCAGGCCTGGGTATGAAGAGTCATGCTTTATATGAGCAGAGTATACAAGATAAGCTATAAAAAAACTCTGGGCACAGTGATATTTATTCAACATTTTACATACTGTACTGCAATAAAGGACTAAATTTGCTGTTTTTCAAGAGCGCATATATGCATACATATTTTTAGGTTGAACATCAAAATATTTTTACAGAGTAAAGAAATAAGTAGTTTTAAGAGTGAAATTGATCATATCAGATGGATTCCAGTGGGTTTAGGTAGTGCCACAAATGCGTCATACAGATACATTGTACAATAGAGTGCACAGTTATCTGCTGCTTGGGCTCATGAAACTTCAAATCTTTCCTTCTGTCATCAAAGTTTGTCACTGAAGATTTGTCAACAATTCCTGAACACTTTATATTTAGATTAAATTTAGGACATTTGTGTGTGAATAAATCACTGATCTGGGGACAGAAGGAGTTTTAATGTCCCTGAGTGTGGTGTGAATGATCATTGAATACTGAGATTTTTTTTTAATGAGTGGTGATCCATGAAAAGATATCAAATACGTCAGACTTTAGAGCACTAATAAACCATTGCTTTTTGTATTCAGACCACTGAGCAAATGATTGTGTGCATTTTATATAAAAGAAGTTAGTTAAAAAAATACTCTGAAAATACCTGCCAAATGCACTATGCAAATAAGCCCTTAAATCTCTGCATGAGCATTTGTAAATTTGAGATTGTTTGTTTGTTTGTTTTGCTCCAATTAGTTTCATGTCTATTCCAGCAAAAATACAGAAAGCTGGGTTCAAACAGATTCCAATTACTGGTCAGGCCAAGAGGAAACAGCAACAAAAGGGATTAAATATGCAGAAGTATTTGCCGTACATCAGGAGAAAAAGCCAATTGGCCAAGTTAGTTGTAATTTCTACAAAGAACAGTCACCGACAACGTATAACCGCATTATGAGTTAAGTTGAAAGAAAAAACGCTGCCTCTCATGATATTGTGGGCTGTCTTTATACTTTCACTTGGGCTCATAATAGCCTGAGGAAACCTCTTTCTGACTCAAAGTTTAATGCTTTAAATACAGTATCTGCTGAATTATTATGCAGAGCCAGCTCTGACAGATGCTCTAGTTCCCTGTTCACTGCTGAGCTGATTGTGAATGGCTCTATGGGCATTTTAACCTCAGGGCACTGGTAAATATCACTGGCTATGTCCTGCTGACCACAGATGAGAATGAAATGGCTTCTCACTAGGTTGTCCTTCTTCACACAATCTTCTTCTAATGCCTGTGAGCAGAGTAAGTGAGTAAAGTCTGGTGTGGCCATTAGTGTAAGACTCATACTGAGTGGGAGACCACAACAGCATTGCAGCGTTTCTAGCTTGGCTGAACTGTGACAAGTGCTAGAATAACTTAACCAGATGGAGGGGGCCTGCTTTTTACAATGCAGGTTTTATATTGTCGTCATCTTCATATCTCTGAAAGGGTAACTGTACAGGTGGAAAAAAAATACTACTAAATTGTATGTACAGTGGGGTCCAAAAGTCTGAGACCACTAGTGAAAGTGCTTCTATTTTGCATGCTTTTTAAACTTATAACATAGTACTTGGTATGTCCTCCTTTTGCTTTAATGACAACAGACACTCTAGCTGCGATAGACTCCACAAGTTTGTGCAAAAGCCTCTGAAGAGTAAAGCGAATCCACCTGAGAGTCATCTGAACATGTATTTCAATGGAAGGTATAATCTTTTGAGCACAAATGCCTTAAAATAGACAATGGCAGAAATCTGCTTAAATATGAATATTGATCTAGAAAAAATGCAGAATCTTGAATATTTCTTCCGCTTTTCAACTGTTTACTTTTTACTTTTCTTTGTTTGAAATTTTTCAAAGTTCTAAAACTTGCTCTTGTTTATTTTCAGGATTAAATGGAGGAAAATCCCAGATTTTCAATGTGGTCTCAGACTTTTGGACCCCACTGTATGTTAATGTGACAAGATTTTATTAGTCTTTTTGAACCATTTCTGTTGGCTCATACAGCATTTATCCAAGTGTCCACACAATGTAAACAGCAGCTGGCATTTTCGAATGGTGTTAAAAAGAATGAATAAAAAATGTAATTAGGTTTTGTTATGACAGCAAGAATACACTTATTCTGAACTGAAGTCAAATTTGGTTTGAAGTCTTAAATATTTAACTAAAACTATGGGTGGATGTGGGATATAAAATATTGTTTTCATCATTTATGATTTAAACTTGCCATTGTTGGAACAAATAAAGTTGGCAGCTTCTTTGAATTGACAACAGCTATGTAGGCAATGGGATGCTATTCTAAGACCAGGATGAAATGTCAGCGTCTTCTGAAGTCCAGATTTAGCTCTTTATCTAATTTTGCTATCAGCTCTGTGTGGGATGCACTGTATGGACGCAGGCTGATAATCCTGCCATCTACGCCACCTGCATTCTAAATGTCATAGGCCTGAAAAGTCGATAAAAACAGGCCCTCCCTCTATCTATCCATCCATCCACCGGGAGCTTTGCTATTTCCTGTTTTAAGTGGGAAGGAAGGAGGTCATAATTTTATTTTGTAGTACAGCCAACAGTTAGAAAAGATGTAGTGGCAGGCTAAAGTGCATCATAGGTGCAGTCAGCCTCTGCTCTTTCACACTGATACTACAGTCATGCGATGGGGCACTGGCTGTGACTCACTTAGGAAGAAAATCAAAAGTACATCCAAAATGACTTAAAATCAATGGGATCCAATATTTCAACACCACGGCTTGTCTGTGTTTTTTTCAAATGAAATATACTCATACACCAACAGAGCCACACACCAACTCTCTCACTCTTTCAGGTCAATGTTTTGCTTTGTTTTAAGTGAACAAACCAGGGGCCTGTCTCACAAAACACTTTCATCTTAGATTTCCTGACTCAACTTCACAAATCCTAACCAACGGAACTTGTTTTGAAAAGCCGATAAACAACTTTCTCTGTTAACCCAGGTTTAGAAACTAAAGCTATGATTAATCATCATGTGCATGCATATAAAAGCATGATGTTTGTGATGAACCGCCAATCGTAAAACATAAGGAGGAGTCGAGTGGCTTATTGGCTGCGCCAGCTCACTGCTTTTCACACAGCAGTATGGGCGGAGACATCCGCTTAAATAAACTGTCAGCAGCTCACCTCAGCTTTTACATAAATTGTTGCATAGCCTACAATTAAACTACAATCTACAATTAAAATAATAATTCTGCTAGAGCCACATTTGTGCTTACTGGAGTACTAATTGCTTTAGACTCTTGATACCTATGTAGTAAGACTCCTTTCCTCCCCCAAAAACTTATGTTTTTCATGTGATTGATGCCACAAACATCACAAAAGGAACAGAAGTGAAGGTTTGAGTCTAAAATGTATTTTATAAACTACTTGTTTTGGATAGTAAATAAAATGGGTATATTTGAACTGTAGATATCTCAGCCTCTTGTTCCAATCACCACCATTTTAAAGAAATTTGAGCCAATAAGTTTCTCTACAGAGCATCATTTCGCATCAGTCCACTCTGAATGCCTTTGTTAACATCACCATCATTGAACTATGCAAAATTACTTACTTGTGTGCAAAACTATCCAGAGCGGTTGTGAGGTTGACCTGCATGATGGTTTGAAACTCTGTGTCATTGCAGCAGTACTTGAAGGCAGTGTTGTTGTGATGACAGCAGAACATGTAGGTCTTGTTGTCAGAGAGTCGAGGACAGTGGAATCCAAAGTGGTAGCGCCCCTTGTGGTCAGTGTAGGGTTCACACACCCGAAAATGAGCTGAAAGAGCTGTACGGGGAAAAACACTGGTTAAAGAGGCACTCGGGACAAAATGAAAAAGTAACCATCACTACATTGTTGTAAACATGCCTACTAGCATCCCATAGTAGTGCTACAATAGTTTCTAATTAGTCATGTTCTGGTTTAAAAGCTAGAAAAACCCCCTTCTGATGATATATCTTAAAGATGGGAGGAACTACAAGAACTTCAAAAACTACAATCACTGTGGGATACATACTTGAGGGTGGGCTGAAGCCAGATAGCTAATGTACTGCTAGGGAGATTGCGTGGTTGTATGACATATTTGTTTAATGCTTGCTGGGCATTGTAGTGAGACAACATTGATGGATAAAAACACAAAAAGGATACAAAACTGTGAACTCTATAAAACCGATGAGTCTGAGGGATATAATGCTGTGTTACAGAGTATTACATAACATGACAAATGAAATATTAATTGCTAGTTTTAAGCCAGAATGCCTCTTTGAAGGACCATTCAATGCAACGTATCAGGATCATATTAGCAAGCATGTTCTATGCTCTCTGTAGTTGGTCAAAACAAGCTATCACTCTATTAAGACAACTGTGGCAAGATCCAAAAATAAAAAGCAATGAGAAAATTCATCAAATTAAAACTGATAGAACTATAATATATGTGCCACTTACTGGAGTTTAAATGCTTACTTTTGCAGCAACTTAATTTTTTTCCAAATTTCACTGATCTCACCCAAATTCAGCAAGTTACAAGAGTCTTCACTCCAGCTACAGAGTGCCTGGAGAACATTAGATCAAATTATCCAAACTGTCTTTACAAGAATCAGATATTAAATTGGCACTGTGTACTCAGAATGCTCCTTTACGGTCTGGATTCCCTGAGGTAATGTCCTCGGCGAGGACTCATTCTTGTCTGAACAAAATATAAACAGTGACCAGACACTAAACCAAACAAGCTAACAGAACAACAAACATAATGAGAGGCACAGATTTGGCTCTGTTTGTGTACTTCTCATCAATCTCAATCTCCATCACTAAGAGCTGTTCTTTTCTACAGCCTAATTAGCTGAGAAGAGTTCATAGCCTGCGCAGAAAGCATGGCAAGAGGAACACAAGTCATTACCACTCAGATGAAAGTGCTGCAACACCTGCTCTCTTTGATGTGCTGCACTTGAGTTACCTGAAAGAAAACTTGTGGAGAATAACAGAGGAGTCATGGTGAAAGACTCTATTGCTCTGCGGTGATTTTGTCTCTAATTTGACCAACAAGAAGCTGAAAAAATGAGAGCTGTTCTTGGTAGGGTTTCAGATGAGCAATGAGCCAGAAAAACCTTCTGCAATTAGAAAAATCACACGGTTTGAAAGAGCATTCCACATACAGACCTGCTTCATTCTAAATATGAGACATGCTGCCTTAATGATAAACTCAAGATGCATTTATTGTAATGACTGTAATCATTAACACAAAGCGTCACACTTCTACACTACACTACAGCAGTTTTCTCTATATAGACCATGATGTTCAATGTGCCTCTTTGATTTCTAGTGAAGTCTCAGAGTGTCTGAAAGCCAAGAATGACTCACTCCTGCCTTAAAAAATTAAAGGGGAGTAGTCATTTGATTAAATTTTATCCGTGGCATCTGATCTTGTGAAGCCTGCAGTCTGACCAGACTCTTCTCTCATCATATAAATGGAGCAAGACTGCAGTTAGGATGATTAGTAGGTAAGGTTGAACAAAGATTCCATTTTAACATGATTATGATTTATTATTTAAATAAACACGCCCCCATGAAATGATAATTCATAAGTGTACTCAAACTGAATCTTTAATTAGCCTTTCTCAATTAGTAGTCACTAAAACCTACCAGTTGGACACAAAACTGGACAAGGTTTTGGTTTGCTCCAAGAAGTCATACATAAATATGGCAGTTGTCAGGAGCCACAACTCACAAGTGTAAAATTTTTGTGTGGTACACTACACAAAATACAGTGTTATATTCAACACCCAGAAATGTTTGAAATCCTGAGATCCTAATATATTGAGTATGTGTGGTTAATATCCCTCTGTCCAACTTTCCCAGTACAGACAGAACACAGACACAGTAGCGCAATACACAGTAAAGTGGGCTTTACATATAAAGGTGGTGTGGACTGCCCTGCTGTGGCTAACTAAAAACAATGGGCCTCTTTCACCAATATCTTCTTAAGTTTTTTTCTTAAATATGTTCTTGAGAAAGGTCCAAAGTTTGCAAGTGCTCTCTGTTGTTACCTAGGAACAAATCCCAAATAAAATTGGTGAATGTCAGAATCTTCATGAAAACTGCATAAGTGGGTTTTTTAATTTTTCTTAATAATGGTTGGTGAATGAGGCCCATTATCAATTTTTTTATGGTACGATAGGTTTTTTATCATTTTACTCCTGAGTATATATCCAGGCAATTCTAGCATGGCTGATTGAATTAATGAAGAGACGGACAGATGGAAAGACAGACAGATGGACCCATGACAGGCAGACAAATGAGCTAGTTTGATAGCTCAGTCATGCTTGCTACCTTAGCTTTTGCTTGGTTGTTAGCTTTCTCTCAATATGTTTTTCTAACTCAAAGAGCTTTTTGTTAAAGAACCTTTCAATGGATGAAGATAGAACAAGCATTCTTGTAACTGAGAAGTGAAAGTGTGAAGAACCTTTTTAAAGCTTAAAGTACTTTCACTTTATATTAAGGTTCTTAATATAGAAGTCTTTTCTCTAGAACCATACATCTGAGCCAAGAGCCATTTATGAACCGTTATTTTTAAGAGTGTAGGTCATTTAGCCCTTCAGCTATGTGAGTCTCACCTGCTGTGGAAAGTAAAAGCAATATGACGGCCAAGATGTTGAAGGACTGACGGCTGGTGACACTCATCTTCTTGTCCTCCCTCAGGGGAGGATGGAGGGAGGAGGATGGACAGCTTCAGCTGAGCTTAGACATCATGTTTCATGTCCTACTGACTCTGTTCATGGTTGCAACAGCTGACAGACCACCTGTTAGAATAGAAGATCCAGCTGGTCAGGTTGGATTCAGAGAGCAAGACAGTTGTGGACAGTAAGATCTAGGAGTACATCCAATTTTTTTCTACAAACACACTTGCAGTTGGGAACCATCAAGGTCTTCTAGGCCTTCAGAGAAAACTTATACACAGTGAAATAAGAAAAAATATTATATGTCTGTATTTTGAGTTTATTATGTTTAATATAATCATCATATTTGTTGGATTTTACCAGTGTTAAAGTACTGCTTTTGTTTCATTGTTAAGTTTTAGCTGGAAACAAAAGGGTTAAATCCTTGAACCACCTTATGCAAAATTATCCAATCATTTTTTCTCCATGGTATATAGGTAGACGTAACCAAGCAAGCTCTCCTATTGGTTTGGATTTTAGGAGCTGAACTGAAGGCCTGTTGTGTCAGATTAACCACCAACAAAACAGGAACTGACAGTGGAATCAACTAATCATGTTTTGATTTAAAGGGTGGGACCAATTGTGTGAGAGATTTTTGTTAGCGCTAACATGCAACTAAAATCCCTTAAGGATGCTAGCACAAATTAGCATTGCTTAAGCAGTGTTTTTTTCCTTGTCTTTGACCAAGTTTTGATATTCATTGCCTAAACTGAAGGCCTAGCTCTAATAATCACAGTTCGCCACTGCATACTCGCATATTCAAGGTCAGTGTTCTGACACATGCAATGTAATGAAAGACATATTGCACACTTGAAACACATTAGAAGACTTATTATGCTTTAAAAGCCATTTCCTATTCAATAAAGCTAACTATCAGCTACAATAATAGGCAAAAGGTCTTGTATAAAGACTCTTATTTTACACAAGGTACATTCATACTCTGTAGCAGAGTCAAGGTTTAGTGCATTTTCTCATACGCATATTCAGTGACAAATAGAGCTGTAATTCAAAGTGTCTACCTCAGTTCTTGCCACTGCTATTATGTGTAGTCATTTCCTAAAGGTATTAGAGGTCACCAAAGCTAGTAATTCCAGTCAAGTGTTCATAGGGACTCAAAGAGCTGAATATCAGCTCAGTAGTAATTGCATGCTATAACATGAGGTGATGCAAGGATATAGAGAAGAGGTCTTCAACTCTAGACCCTAAATCCAGTTTTCAGCACTGGATTCTGTCATTACTCATATCTATGACACAAGGAGGCCAAACAGTTACATTAACATGCTTTTCGATTTACATTAACAGTTCATTAGTAATTCTAAAATTGAAAAGCATAAACTAGATTCAAAGTCTGGAGTTGAAGACCTCTGATACTAAGTAAATTCAGATGATACAGAGAAGCTTACAGACTAAATACAGTACAGAACAAGCACATTTCTAGTCTAAACAACAGCTAAAATCCATTCTACTACTGAGCTATAACAGCTTGCTGAAATCTCGTTGCTGTCTGTACATCTGTTCCCAGTGGAGAGCAAAGGTCAAGTGAGCATCAGAAGCACTGAAACCTTTGAGTTCATCTTGCATCTAGAGACGATACCTTAGCATGACCTCTCTTGGGCTCTTATGGATAACAGAGAGTGTAACCCCTGAAACTGTGAGTGTGAGATGGTTTATATTGCATTCTCGAGGCTGTGAAGAAGAGCCTTGAAATAGTGAAATGCATGAAGGGAACTTACCAACAGTAGTTCTTATTTTACTTTGTGTCACTGTATGGACCATGGAATGTTTTTTTGATAGGAGGGACCAGGCATCAGAGCCCCAACCACACCTACACACCACCACCATCACTACACTGCAAAACATGGTATCTTGGCAAGTGAAATCATCTTTCTCTTAATTTTATTGCCTATTTTAAAGCAACCTGAATTACAATTGTGTATGAAATGAGTTATGTACATAAACCTGCCTTGACTTGCCTTACATTGTTATCAGGACGACACAGTGCATTTAATCCTCTTGAGTTTGGCGCTGCTTAGACAGAGCAGGCTGATTGATTAAATTCAAATCAGTGTAGGATTAAACCAATCAATCACAAGGAAGCAAAGGTCAAGTAGTTCATTTTTATTGTATTGACTGTGGGTACAGGCAGCCCCAGGCCTGTAGGTTATGTTAAAAGTCTCTATCTTCATTCAACAGAATGGAATAATAAACTCATACAATGCCCTCCACAAATTTTGGCACCCCTGGTAAACATGAGCAAAACAGGCAGTAAAAACCATTCTGTATTTCTGTATCATTTCGAACTTTCATTCAAAATATTAACAAAAACCTAACCTTTATATGAAGTACAATGATTAAAAAAACAAAATCTTATCAGGAAATAAATATTTTTCTCAAATTGGTGTGCCTCACAATTGCTGGCATCCCTACATGTAATACTTTGTCCTTTTGTAAAGAGTGTTCTCCTATAATGCTTAATGAAACTAGAGAACACATGGCGAAGGATCTGAGACCATTCCTCCATACAGAACCTCTCCAGATCCTTAAGATTCTGAGCTCCACACTGTGGACTCTCTTCTTCAGCTCATCCCACAGGTTTTCTGTGAGGTTTAGGTCAGAGACCTGGGGTGGCCATGACAAAATCTTAATTCAGCGGTCGTTGAACCATTTTTGTGTTGATTTTAAGGTGTGCTTTGAATCATTGTCCTGCTGGAAGATCCAAACTATGTTTAAGCGTCCTGGCTGAGGCAGTCAGGTTTTGACTTTATTACAGATCAGGCCTGGGTTCACCACCCTCCTCGTTCCGTGGTCCACCGTTTGCTTGGTGGCAGTTTACCATGACTGTGGAAGTTTACCACGACTTTGATTCTAAATGGAATATATGTTCCTTGACTTCTGTTTTTAAGAGGATGTTTCAAATCAATTGGTATTAGGTACAAATGCTAGGAATTTTCCTAATTTTCCTGCAGTAACTGTGCTTTCCTGTAAAAGAACTCTACTAATGAGGCAGAGATACAATGTAACATGAATAAACAAAAGCTGCACCTGTTCTTCAGTCTGTATCTTTAGTTTCCCTCGTGCTAACAGTCGCTGCTCTATGGATGAAAGAACATTTACCAAAGCTGTGTAAGCGTAAAGAAATATGTTTCTCCAAACGTTGGTTTACATGTGCTAGTTTCCTCCTCTGGGAGTGAAGCATAATGTTTTCCCCTGAGGTCTGTGCAGGCCTCACTCTTTGACTGCAGTATCAACCTCTTTTATTCAGCCAGAAGAGAAAGGTGTTCCCGCTCAACGCTGTCACACACGGGCTTCATTTGTCCGATATTTTCAAGCCTAGAAATAGTGCATGGACTCTGACACATGTAAGAGGGAGTGCAGTCTTTATACATAGCAAACAGAACAGAGCCTTCAGTACTGTATGAAATACGATATGATAGCACAGCATGACTGTAAATGCAGACAGTCCCTGCAAAGAGTGCTGGACCTACTGGAGCAGAAACTCGCTAATGTAAACACACACACACACGCAGAAATCCCTCACAGATGAAGGACTCTGCGTGGTTGTAATCAGGCGACAGATGTGACAAGAAGAGGAGTCTAAGGATTGTACACCCATGAGTATTTCTAAAAAAAATAATAAAATGGCAAAGACGCAGAGTCTAATAGTCATACTCCAGTGATACTGTAGCAGAGCAGAGATAAAAGCTGTGAGTGGGATGGGAACCTATAAGCTATAAATTTTCTATTCAATCTGACAACAGTTTAATTCACTATAACAATGAAGGCTTCATAATATATGAGATATTTAAACGTATTTCTTGCCACAGCAAATGCTGCTTCTTTTCTGACCTGTTGTGGAGCAATTTCACATTAACCAGGAGCCTTGAAATGACCCCAAATGGTCAATTATGGCAGAAATGATTATATTCTGGTAATATAAACATATAAATAGTTTTCATGATCAAGCCCATATGCAAAAGAAATATGTTTCCATATATTTTTCAAAATGTGTCATATTTGTTGTTATGTGGTTCCATATAGTTCCATTATGTTTGAAAATATTGTAAGATATTGAAATATATATTTACACACATACATTATTTAAGCCATTAATCCGTCTGGGTTGTGCAGGGCTGGAGCCTATCCCAGTGATCACTGGGCGGATGGCAGGAAACACCTGGGCAGGTTGCCAGTCCATCGCAGGGTAGACAGACAGACACATACCTTCACTCACACATTCACACCTATGGGCAATTTAGCATGTCCAATCAGTCTGACTGCATGTCTTTGGACTGTGGGAGGAAACTGGAGCACCCAGAGGAAACCCAGATAGACATGGGGAGAACATGCAAACTCCACACAGAAAGGACCCTGGTCATCCGACTGAGGAATCAAACCTAGGCACCCATACCCACTGCACCACAGCGCTGCCCAATATATACTTACATATATTAGAATAAAATTTTTTTCTTCTACATATGTGCATACATTTCAATATATCAACATATATGTGCATATATTGGTATATATTTCAATATCTATAATGGCAAAGTTAAATATATTTTAAAAACATCACTTACAGTGCACCCTGATTTTACATGTAAGCAAATATATATAGATTTAACATATGACCTGGACACATGGATGATACTGTAGTCTTGTTTTACATGGAACATTTTGCCAAATTATCTTGTGAGAGTAATACAGGGTTTTCCAGTGTCTATTCTCTTTCATGGTCTCCTCCTCCTCATGGTCTTGTTGTTTGAAGGGATGCTCAGATGCTCTGTCCTTTGCTGTTTCACAGCGTTTGTCATATATTTTCTTATTTGAGTTTTCTACTGCGTGTGAATTTGATTAGATTGCTACTGTTTGACTGCTTTGTTAAATAATACATTGTTCTGTAAGCAGCATTAGCTCTGTGTTTCCTTAATTATCACCGTGGCAACAAGGCCCTATGAAATACTGTCTAAATACACTGTGCTTAGTTATGGGTCTTGGCTATGTACTTCTTTAATTACCTCAATGGCAAGTGCTCTGTTATGCAGCCTATATCAAATGAAAAACCTGGAGCTGAATATATAGATTAG